ATGTGCAAGACAGTTCAAAAGAAGAATTGACAGGATTTGGGAGTTAATGAAGGAAAAAAGTCAAATAAGATTAAGGTCTCAACTCTGGTTATGACGACGTATTTCTCTTGGTCGCCCCTACAGAACCCATCATAATGATTAGGTGTTCAACATCTTTAAAGTTTCATAAGAACTTAAAAAAAAATTCTATTCCTGTTTCACACAGAACTTGGGAGCTCAAGTCCTGACCAGTAGTGGCTAAGCCATTTTCCTACTGCTTGTTAAGGGATTAAGCCAGAATCCTTTACTCTTGGGGACTTTCACAGGGCAATAATTTGAAGATCTTCTAAAGTTATAAAGTGACTTTTTGAGAAAAAGGTTTTTTTTTGTTTTTGTTTTTTAGTTTTATAATTTCTCTTTTCTGGTACCTCAGTCAAAACCACAGACTTAGATGGCACAGTAGCTCAGGAGTGAGATTATCCCTCTATCTAACCCTTGGCTAGGTGATAGTATGATTTCATTAATTTAGAAATAGCTGAATGACTAGAGCCAAAGAGTTATCAATAATGACTTGATGTCATCTTGGAGGGAGATCTCTAGTAGAATGATCAGGGATCTGTACTGAAATTTATTATTTTCAATATTTATATTTATCCTGCATATAGTTCAGTTGTATGTAGCGGTTCACATGTTGTTTCCCCCATTAGACTGTGAGTTCCTTGAGAGTAGGGACTGTCTTTTACCTTTTTTTTGTATATATAGAACTTAGCATAGTGCCAGGCACATAGTAGGCACTATATAAATGTTTATTGACTGATTTAATTATGTCAGTGACTTGGATGAAGGAATAGATGATATGCCTTATCAGATTTGCAGATAACACAAAGCTCAGATGTGTAGTTAACACTTTGTTAACTATTTAAAAGTGTCTTGAAAGGCATTAGAATGATGACTAGAAGCTAGTAAGATGAGATTTAATAGAGGTAATTTAAAGTTCTATACTTATGAAGTTTTTTTTTTTTTAAACCAAGTATACAATGGGAGAGGCATGGCTAGACTATAACTTATATGAAAAACCTCTCGGGGTTGTATTGGACTGAAAGCTTAATGTTAGCAGTGCCTCCTGGCTGCCAGAAAAGACAGTCTGATTTAAAGCTGCAGAAACAAAAGCACAGTGTCCAGGACATGGAATAAAATGGCCCTGGTATAGTCTAGTGTGGGGGTGGGGAACCTGTGACCACATGTGACCCTCTAGGTCATCAAGTGCTGCCCTTTGACTGAATCCAAGCTTCACAAAACAAATCCCCTTAATAAAAGGATTTGTTCTATAAAACTTGGATTTAGTCAAAAGGCTGCACCCAAGGACCTAGAAGGCCACATGTAGCCTCAAGGCAACAGGTTCCCCACCCTGGCTAGTGCTCATCTTTTCAGTGGGTGGGGGAACAGGCTAGAAGGAAGGAGATAATTTAGAACTCAAAAAAAATTTTTTAATGTTTAAAAAAAAAGATGACCTTGGTATATACTCTTCCCTGATCATTCTATGTCTGGAGTACTGTGTTTAGTTGGGACACTAAATTTTTATGATAAGATAGAGGGCAACCAGAATGGTGAAGGGCCTTGAGTTCTTGTCATATGAAAATTGGTTGAAGTAACTAGGTACGTTTAGTTTAGAGAAGATTTGATCAGGATGGGACATAGTAGCTCTCTTCAAATATTTAAAGATCTGCCATATGGAAAAGGAATTAGATCTTTCTTCATATGTTTGCCAAGAAACTCTAGGGTTTGGGTACCCATGATTTCACAGTCCACTAATATTGTAGAGACCCATTTCAGTTTATCAGGCTGGAATGGGTCTTGTTTCAATGCCACTTTGAGCTGAAGGTTCCCTACTCAAAGTGTTGGACTCCCCTCGACTGCACAGCTAAATACTCTTTGTATGTATGTATCATATATCAGACCTTCCAGCAAAAGTATCTATGCCTTCAAACTCATAACAAGAATACACTGCTCACCTTCCATCTCCTCAGCCCATATCATAGATCAGGGCTTCCTGATCTAAAGGGAACAGATCTTTAGCTCTGCCTACTCTTTGGTCTGTGGTCTAACTGGCATCAGTTCAGTGTTCCAACTTATCCATTTTCTAGACACCTATCTCTTGCTGTCTGTTCACTAGAGAACAATTCTCTGGCCCTCAGTCCATTTAACATCACTCTAGATCGGGCCTTAAGAATGATCTCCCTTTTGTCTTTTGGTTGATTCATGTGACTCATTTAGTCTCCTGAGCAGTAAGCATCACATATGTTCCTCCTTTTAACACATAGCATGACAGCTCTTAAGTCACTTAATAATATAAAAACACTACGAGAGTAATAATAAACTTATGTGTATACATATACATATACTATGTGAGTATGGGGAGGGAGAGAGAGAGAGAGAGAGATTACCTAGAGAGAAGGATTAACAGTGTGGCACAGTGGATAAGTAGCCATGAAAGAGCCAATACTGGTGAACTTTTTTAAAGCCTCAAAAGAGAAGCTGAAACCAAAGGAACAATAGTGTGACCACCTTGGGGCAGCTAGGTGGCACAGTGGATAGAGCACTGGCCCTGGATTCAGGAGGACCTGAGTTCAAATCCAGTCTCAGACACATAACACTTATTAGCTATGTGACCCTGGGCAAATCACTTAACCCCATTGCCTAGCCCCCCCTCCCACCCCCAAAAAATTAGTGTGAACACATTTAGGCCCACTCTTTTTATCTCTTAAAGGTGATCACCATATATATGTCACTCTCCCCAGTAAACCACTTCTCATTAAGCCTCTTTGTCTACTCTGGTGCTGCTCCCTAAGGTTCTCTTAACCTCTCCCTCCCTAACAGAAACTCCTAAGGGAGGGGGTATCCTCCCCCTTTCCCATTCATCCAGTCACCTTCTGCTTCTAATAGGTTTTACCTCAAGCTTTCCACATTTTAGCCTGGGCTTTAAAAGTGTGCTAATGATGCCATAGGCCCCAGAGCACGCTGTTTGTTACCCCATGGAGTCCATACTTCCAATTCAAATGAGATGATCTCTGGGTCCCAGTCTATCCTCCTTCTTGTTCTTTTTGTTTTTGTTCCTCCTCCTGAAATCCCAAGCCTTTTAAATGTCAGGCAGACGATGGGTTTGGGATAGGATTAACTCTTCCATTTGTTTTACCATCCAAGTCATGAAGACAAAAAATCCATGTTAGGAGGGGTGGCTTATCATTGGAAAGTTACATGAGGATTATTATTGGAGAAGTTCCATTTCTCCAAAGGATATTTGTCATCTCATTGTAGTGAGATGATTCATCTCTGCTGCCTAGGATCCTGTGTACCCCCTTCCAGGTCATGCAGCAGCTTTGTGTTCCTGCAGCTTTGGCTTCAGCTCTAGCCTTTTCTTTCTTGGCCTCACAGCTAGCCACCCCATTGGCCACCTCCCCACCAGACTCCCTGCATGGTTCCATTTGGGCACTGGGGCTCCAGTAGAGTTGGTTTTCTCTTTCTGTCTCTACTAACTGCTTTGGCAGGTGACTTGACCTGGGTTTCATTTTTCTTTAAGTCTAATTGTATGTTTAGGTAGCTCAAAGATACCACCCCTGCTAGGATGCTGTGCCTGCATGGCTATAGAGTGCCTTAGACTTCATGGTCCACATTACAATGGTGAATCCTGATGATAAGAAAAGAAGGGAGAGAACATTCCAGGTGGCAATAATAGGCAGAGAGGTGAGAATGAATAAGCTTCCCAAGAATACACAGCATGTCTGTGAGACTAGAGTCAACAAAGAAAAAGAAAGAAGTAACAAGAAATGTAGTTATTAATGGACCTGAAGTTTCATGTGGAGAAAGCCACAGATTTTGGAGCAGGGTGGTGAAATGGTGAAAATGGTTTGAAGAAGATTAGCCTGTTCCCAATCTTTTCAAGATCTGGGTCCCATTTTAAATCTTAAAAAACAAAAAAAAACAACAACAACAAATTCAGCCCCTCTACATGATGGTAGTTTTGTATTCCTCAGCAGATACCAATGGGATAATGATAAAATGGCACTATGAATTCAAGACAACTTTTAGATGAATTTTTATGTTAGTCACAGTAGCATATACATGAATTTGAAAAATACTAATACATATGTGTAGGGGACTTTCAGTCTGCAGAAGGTATGCTTGATTATTTATGGATTTGAATATGTATTCTCAAGACACTTGCTAGTATCATGGTTTTGCTGTGGATGGAAGGATGGCAATTAAAAAGCATCTGTAGGGACCTCAGAAGGGTTGGTTAATGAAGCTAATTTTAGCAGTGGTATATAGAGCCACTGTATAGATAACTGGCTCTGGTTTGCTATGACCAGCACTTAGCACCATTCCTGGCACTTAGTAGGTGCTTAATAAATGTTTATTGATTGAGACAGACAAGATGTGACCTGGTCTACCCAGGTTGGGTTTCCGCTTGTAATGGGAAAATTTGAGTTGGTTGTTTCTTGCAGAATTTTTTGCTTCCCCTCACCCACTTTGTACGCAATCCAGAGGGTTTTTAACAAGTCTTTGCTATTACTTGGGGTATTTTTTTCACATGCTAATGAGGAACTGCTCAGAAATGCTAATGAGGAGCTTCTTTGACTTTCCGCTTTGCCAAATAAGCCAGACAAATAATTTAAAGAGTTTAAAAGCAAAAAAAAAAAGTTTAAAATTACGGTTCTTTGAAGTCAAAACTAACAGCTAAATAACTTTTTACTCAGTTGCATTGATAAGTGAGAGGTCACTGTAGTTCTTATCTTATCAGTCAGTGTAAACCATTGGCTGCTACTAAAACTTCAGTGGAAAAATTTGTTAAAATAAGCCTATGTAAAGTAGTCTAAAAGAAGTTTTTACTTGCATGATTCAGGTGGGGGGAAAGACATGTTTGGATTTGTTGTGATTTTGAGGATAGTCACCATCACTGTCTACTGCAGCTATGAAAAAGCATTTACTTCAGTCTGATCATTTTAATTACTTTTCTATTCCAGAAGAAAGGGATTGTGGTTTCGCTTGCGGAAGATTCTTCTTTGGTCATTGGCCTTGTACATTGCCATTCCATTCCTTGTAAAACTCTGTCCTGGGATACAGGCTAAGCTGATTTTCTTAAATTTTGGTAAGTGATAACTTTCAAACCTGTTTATTAGGATGTTTTTAGTTTTAATTATAATTGGCATTTATATAGCATCAAAAGGTTGCAAAGGACTCAACTTATATTATTTATTTTCAGCCTTACAAAAAACCCTGAGGTAAGCACTACAGTTGTCATTTTACTGATGAGGAAATTGAGGCTCAGATTAAGCGGATAAGCTCAAGGCCCCAAACTTGATTGTAAGTGCAGGCCTTCCAGGCTTCAAGGCCAACACTATATAACATGCCAAACTGCCTCTTTTGTTTTGTTAAATAGCTTTTTGGGTGGAGGATGAGAGGAAAAGTGGGCATTTAAAAAAATCTGCCATTGAATTTTGCTTTTGCTTTTCATTTGGGGCATTCATATCCATGAATGAATCAGACAATAGCCATTTTTTTCAAGATAGCATTTTGCTATGCATTTAGCTGAAAATATTGAAACAGATTTTGTGGGTACACATTTAAAATATAGTTTAACATTAGTTATCGTTTTCCTATGAAAATTTTAATTTAAGGAACTGTTGTTATTCAGTCACATCTGACTCTTCGTGACCCTATTTGCAGTTTTCTTGGCAAAGATGCTGGAGTAGTTTGCTATTTCCTTCTCCAGCTCATTTCACAGATTAGGAAACTAAGGCAGACAGGATTCAGTGACTTGCCCAGGATCACACAACTAGTAAGTATCTGAGGACAGATTTGAACTCCTGTCTTCCTAATTCCAAGCCTGCCACTCTATTCACTGCACTGTTGAGATAGGGGTTTAGGGGTGCTGGGACCCTGAAATCACAACACATTGGTCCTGCCTGAAAGAATTCGACCCAAGCCTTCTTTCATCCAAAAACAAGGTTTATTAGAACATCTGTCATATTGACTGGACTCTTAAGGAATCTGAGTAGTGGCTAGATTTTAAGAATCTGAGCATCTTAATGGAGACAAAATGGACCTTATATACAGAAAAACTGTGGGAGGAGTCTAGGAGTGGCCAAGTATTCTGAGGGGACTGTGAAGTAACAGAATGCCAGGGACTCTGGATGTGGCCAAGGGAGAATGGAGCCTAGCTAGGAATAAGGGTGGGAAGTAGTTGGGGGCCATAGGGAGGTAAGACAATGGAGGGCTAGGCTAGGTTAAGGGTAACCGACAACTGGGAGATTGGGAGATTGAGCGTAGCCACAATGAAACCCCAATTGATGGGACTGTAGCCTCAGGTGAACACCAGAGACTTGGGCATATGAGAAAGTTCAGGGCTTTTCCTTTCTGTAGGCCAGATCCCAACCCCATCAGCACCACCTACCTGCGTGAAGAATTTTATTTTGGAAACAGTGAGATAACAATTTCTTTGACATGAAAAATTTTTCATATTCATCTTTTGTTTTTTTTTAAGCCTGTAAAGTCCTTTGAATTTTTTTTAGAGATAAATGTTTGCTTTTTAATTGTGGTAAGCTTATTAATTCAGTTTTAGGATGTTGTTTGTATGAAAATTAAAATTCAAGAGTATGAAATACAGTATAGATAAAGTGACACTTAGGCAGCGTGAACACTATGCAGAAAGCTTATGAATAGCAATATCTAATGAAAGGACAGATGTGACCAGGACTAAGGTACTGTGAGATGCTACCAACTAGGAAAGGCATTAAAAGCATAGGACTAATTGAAATGCAGGTAAGACTTGAAAACAGCTTAGCCTCTGTAACTATATTCTTTCCAACTTCTCATTATGGTACTGTTCATGAATAAGAAGAATGAGAGTTAACATTCTAGGGTTTCGGGTTTTTTTGATGACACTTAGAAATGTGGAGGCTTAGCACACTGGGAAGCAGAGAACAGAGATGAAATAGTCCCAAGCGGAAATAACAGCCAGGAAGAAGATAATTGAAGAGGCAGAGTGGGTGGGCAGTTTTATAAAAGTGAAGACATAACTTATGAACCCTGGTGTGAGAAATTAAAAACTGAGCGTGGAGAAAGGGAGGATCTGAGTCAGGATGAGAGAAAGGACAGGTGGGTGGATTTATTTGCCTTACCTCAGATAGTCTTAGGAGTTCAAGAATCTGCAGTTCAGGTGGCATAGTGGGTAGAGCACTGGCCCTGGAGTCAGGAAGACCTGAGTTCAAATTTGACTTCAGACACATAACACTCTCTAGCTGTGTGACTCTGGGCAAGTCACTTAACCCCAATTGCCTCATGAAGGGGGGGGGGGAAAGGAATATGCAAAGTCTGGGCACTTTGGGCCTGTAGAAATGTTAAATTTCTAGACATTTTGAAGCCACAAGTGGTAAGTGCTTTCTGTTAATTTAATAGATGAAGGATTTATGATTTCACAGATGTGGGGACTTTCTCCATGAACCAGTCTATAACTTAGTAGATAGACTTTGAGAGTTACCTGAGACTTGTAGGGGTTACTGATTTGACCAAGGTGAGAAAGAAAGAAAGAGAGAGAGAGAGAGTGAGTGAGAGTGTATGTGTGTGTTGGGGAAGAGGGGAAGATGAATCTAATTTCAGTACTCTGGTCAGTATACCACACAACCCATTTCTTCTGTGGTGAAAGTAATTTTTGATTTTGATTTTAGGAAAATAAAAGGGACATTTTAGAGCAAGCTGAAATAGTAAAAACAAACAAACACCTGCTTATATAGCCCTATGGTTTGTTTGTTTTTTGGTAGGTTTAACAAAGTAAAAATATACCCTTCATGATCATAAAATTCTTGTACTTAGCATAATTAAATTTAAGATACAGTTTATTCAGATAATTTCATATTTCAATTGAATTTACTTTAAATGCTTTTAATTTTTGTCATAAATGGAATTATAAGCTGCTGGACTTTAAGCAGGCTGGCATATCTTAGTCTTCACCAGTTTACGAGACTTAGACAAGCATTTAAACAGAAGAAACTGTTAAAGTATGAGAGTAAAACAAAGTTTTTGTTTAAAGAATGTATGATAACACAGTTAAGGAACACTGTGTATAAATTCCATAATGTCTTCTCTTCTAAAGTTAGCTTAATAGTCATTGATCTCTGGAAGATCTTAAGTGGTGAAGTAGCTGGATTTGAAGTCAGAGGACATGGGTTCAAATCTTTCTTTCACTTAATACTTGTGTAACTTTGGATAATTCTTGTCACTTCTTTGGGCCTTGGTTTCTTATTTGTGAAATGGGAGAATTGAACTAAATGACTTTTGAAGCCTCTTCTAGCTCTCAATCTAGGGTCCAGTGACCTCACCAGTAAGGTAAGGCAGCTGATTTTGCTACAAAAGAATTAAACCATGGTTTAACTTACATGGGTTATTAAAAATCCAACTCATTAAAATAATTTAATATTCTGAATTCTATTCAAATTTGAACTATTACTCTTTAATAAAGAAGCCTGCCTACTTTCTGCTCCTTTATTTAGGAGAGGGGGTCAGGAAGAACTAGAGTCTCATCTTTCCTCTAACTCCAAAACCCTTAGACTTCACTTATGCAAGTCAGGGCAGTATTTTCATCATTTCTAATCTCTTTTGCAATAAAAAGTCTTCCTATAATCTGTCCTTTGGAGCCTGTTCAGAGGGGTAAAAACTTCCCTGCAGACCTCTAGATCAAAAGACAGGAGGTTCTCCACTCCACAGAGCTGCCAAGGTGATTTTCAAGTGCAAGTCTGACCATGCTATGTCTCTAAGTTGTAGTGGCTCCGTATTACTTTTAGGATCAAATACAAATCTTTCTGGGATTTTCTGAAATCTGCTTGTTCATCATTTCTTGTTGCACAATAGTATTCCATTGCATTCATATACTAAAGCTTGTTCAGCCATTCCCCAACTGATGGGCATCCCCTCAATTTCCAATATTTTGCCACCATAAAAAAGGCTGCTATAAATATTTTTGCACATGTAGATCTTTTCCCCTTTTTTTAAAATCTCTTTGGGATACAGACCTTAGTAATGGTATTGCTGGATCAAAGGGTATGCACAGTTTGGTTGCCTTTTGGCCATAGTTCCAAATTGCTCTCCAGAGTGGTTGGATCAGTTCATAAAGGCACCAGCAGTACATCAATGTCCCAGTTTTCCTACACTAATACTGTTCTTTCATTTGACAGCTTTTCCTCTGATTTGCTCTCAGAGTATGGAAATTATAGTGGTATAGTATCATAAATGGTTTTGCATAAAAAGTTTTTCCTTAGGTGAGTTTTTAGAAATAATTTGTGTGGCTGAAGAGCAATAGTTTACTGGGCAATTTATCTTATCATTTTATTCATTATAAAAAAATCAAAGGGCAATAATACATACACCCATATGTACATACACATATATACAAAAATGTGTATTCATATCTGTTTCATATTTGAGTCGTAGATTTTGTTCTCAACCTACAACTTTGTCACTTATAGACACAGGTTGTTTTTCTTCTCTTCCCTTACTTAAAGGCTGGCCTTGCTTCTACCCTGGTTAGTTCCCATTCCGCTAATTTCCTGGTGCCAGCTGTCTCCTGTAGTGATCTGGCCACTTGTATGATAAATGGTCCTTGCTATCTGTGCCCCAAAACCCTTTACACCACAATCTTAAGTACAAAACAATGCCCTATCTTGAGGAGTGTGGATTTTCTAATTTTCTTTTGTTTGTCATATTAGATGGTTACAGTATTTTGCTCTTAGTCTTTGTTAGAGTTGCTTTGCTAGCTAAGAGTTTTTTCATCAATTTCTTGACTTGCTGATGTAATTTCAAACCACTGTCTAATCTGTGGAAATTGCTGGGTAGGAATTAATCCTAGTTATCCATTCTGTCTTGCAATCACTTCACATTTTTACCTTCTGCATTAATTGGTGATGAACTATACAGCAGCATGTCTGAATATATATGTACTTCACTATATTAATTAGATGTGTTGCTAAAGACTTGGTTTGAAGATTCTGTCTTTCAAGGTCATTATGAAAGTAACACAAATTTTTGGTACCAAAACCTAATTAAAATTACCTAGGAATTCTTGTGTCGATTTAGTAGACCTTTATTAAGTATCTA